GTACGCCTAAAAAATTTAGGTTTCAATGTCTAAGTGATACATTTAATGTCAATCATGTCCTGTTTTTTAACAAAACACCACACATCTTCCTTATCTTTGTCAATAATTATTTGGTTTTTATAAGGAAATATGCAGGTGGTTTTAACATATTTAATTTTGTATACATGTATAATAATAAACATATCGAAATAAGGAGAAAGATCAGAGATGCAAAGGAAAGATGGTGTAGTGACAGATGCGAAGAGATGGAACAGTTAGTAGATAAACATGATAACTTAAACCTTCATAAAAAATTAGGGAAATAACAGGCACTAATATTAAGAAAAAATCAAACATACTGCTGGATAAAAACGGCAAAATAATTATAGACATTGGTAAAAAGGCTTAAAAGATGGCAAGAATATATTCAAGAGATAGTTAAAGGCGAACGGACTGAGATAGTACTAGAGCAGGAAAAGTTCGACAACAGTCCTGACATAACAGAAGATGAGGTATTGGAGGCGATAAAACGAACAAAGGACAACAAGGCAACAGGTCCTGACGTCCTGTAGTCATAAGTCCTGTAGACATAATACGGTTCATAGAAGAACAGCAAATTGGAATATTGGTCGACTCATTCAATGCAATATACAGTACAGGATTCACACCCAGAGATTGGCTAATGTCAACATTCATAACACTACCAAAAAAAACCAAATGCAAAATAATGCCAAGACCACCGGATAATAAGTTTAATACGCTCAAAATATTTTTAAAAATTATACACCAATGAATACACAACAAACTTGAGCAGGACATAAGTGACACACAATTTGCATTTAGAAATGCACTGGGAAAGAGGGAAGCCCTGTTCGCTGTGAATGTACTTGTGAAAAGGTGCATGGATGTTAATCAGCCAGTATATATGTGTTTCTTGGATTACAACAAAGCCTTCGATAAGGTCAGATATAACTGGACTTCGGCAAATATGCAAATAAAAATGTAGAAAATATGCGCATAAATATGCACGTGTTTACCCGAAAATATGCAAATATTTTACAAAATATGCATACAAATAAATAAAAAAATCGTAAAATAGTAACAATTTTATTTAAAAAAAAAGTGTAGATAACTAAATATTTCCTACTATTCATTAAGATTTACATTTATTTTAAGTAACTACATCATTTTTAAGTATGAATAAACTTATTTAGAATTATGGTAACAATAAATGACCAAGTGGTGTTCAAAATTTTCTAACAAAAACTTGTGGCTTCTGTCTGAGTACATATATTTATATATGGAAAAACTTCGTTCAACATCAATTGATGTAACGGGAGCATTTTTCAAACTAACCAAAACATTTGGTTCTAAATTAATTGTTTCCGAAATATTTCCAGCTAGAACACTGACTACTTCAGAAAGAATATGGTAACCTTTATTTTTTTCCATAGTAGCTTCAAAGTTTTTTAAAATATCTTTTCCAATAATACCTCTAACGTTCCGACATGACGCAAATTCTTTTATTAATGCTGTACTTTCTGTACAGTTTTGGTGATTCTAACTGAGTAATTGTTTTTTGAACAAAACTAAAATTTGATTTTATAAATGAAAGTTCTTCTTGAAGCAAGTTACTCTGAAAAGTTTGTTTAGAATCCAAAAGAGATTGGGAACTTTCATCTGTTAACGTATCAATTATGTTCTTTATTTTAACAAAATGATCTGCATAAAAATTAGCTGCTTCTAACCATGTTCCCCATCGCGTTAAAATAGGTTGTGGTGGAAGAGGAATGTTAGGTAGCATTTCTTTATAAAGTTGAATTCTTATAGGAGATTTAAGAAATACTTTTTTGACACTGGATATCATGGTATTTACAAGAGGAAACTTTTTTCGTATTTCCTCTGCAACTCTGTTTAATCCATGCGTTACACAAGTAACCTGTATTAAATCTGGGAAAAATATTTTTAAATTTTGTCCTGCTTTCACCATATAAGGAGCAGCATCCGATAAAATAAGCATTAATTTATTAGAAGGAATAGTTGTCAAAAAAAAAGTTGCTAATGTTTCTTGTATAAAACGCGAAATTGTTAAAGGATTTGTTTTCTCAAGTTGCTGGCATGAAATAAGATGAGATTTTGGTAAGGTATCTTCTTCAAGAACACCAATCAATAAATGAGCAATATACTTTCCTGAGGAATCAGTGGTTTCGTCTACAGATATGTAAAAATAATTATCTGCAATTTCTTCCTTAATATTAATTAACACCGACGAGTATAGCCCGTTCACATTATTTCTTCTTAGAGACCGATCACTTGGAACATTAAGTTTGCAATATTTTTTTAGAAACGAACTAAAATTTACATTTGCTAATTTTGAAAGCGGTATGTTTGCAGACACTAATGCGCGACACAAGTCTTCATTAAAAGTTTCTTGCTCATCTAATTTTTTTGAAGTAGATTGGAAACATTTAGCTATTGAAGTTTGATGTTTTCCTCCTATTTTTCCTTTTTTTTGCAATGTGTGAAGCAGTTCTCACATGTTGTCTATAAATAAAAATTTATTTTAACCCAACCTTTAAAATATAAAAATATACAAGGTGTTTTTGGTTAATCAAATAACTGGTTTGGAAAAAAAAACACTCGCTAAGTGTTTTAAATGCAGTATTAATCCACAAATTAGTTTTTGTTACTAACCATTAGTACATCATATAATTTATTTTAAAATTCAACAAAGTTTTTTTTTTGTTAATTCAATTACAATAAAAATAATTGTGTTTTAGAATAGCTGACTTCATAAAAAAAGTTAAGGTGAAAAATTTTTCTAAATACACACCATTGTATTGTACCATGGACAATTTTTTCTCACTATTTTTCATTTAAAAACAACCTACGAGTACTAAATTTCAAGTAAATACGTTTATTGGTTTTAAAGTTATTGTTGTTATTAACTAAAAGAATTTAATTTTTTTTAATTTTAACACCCTGTATCTCGAAAAGTAAATAAGTTTGACCCCTCATTAACTATATCGTTTTGTTCAATTTTTCGAGAAGTATCTACAGTCAAACGTTGTAAGTGTCATTTGGAAACACCCTGTATGTATGAAATATTAGATATTTAATAGAAAATATTAGATACTTACAGTTTTTTCACAGACTGAACAGTAGATTTTTCCCATATCCATAGACAGCTCTTTATAAGGTTTAATCCAAGTTGAAGCACTGGTTGTTTTAGACATTATAAAATCACAATCTTCCTTTTTGTTACGCACAACGAGTGTTTACGCTTTGAATATCAAAACAAAAATGATTTACAAATCTGAGCATCAATTTAGAAATGTTTAGGTACCTAATTCAATAAACTGGGAGATTTTGGAAAATCCCTAAATTAGGAACAAAACTATTAGCCGTTTACCTGCTGTTAAGATACAATAAATTGTAAATAGATTTGGGGATTAGATCATAAAATACAAATGAGCGAACCCTTAGCGATTATCCAATAACTGAATGCCTCAGTGACCGAGACTTTCTAAGAATGTTGAGGGCTACTTAAATTGATCTTCTTTGAAATTGTAAATGTTTTATACCTGTAGAGATTACGTACTTAGATCATTTCTTGATTAAAATGACTACAAAATTTTATACAAGATTTGAAATAAATTGGTATGTTTAAAAATTTTCAAATACAGTATAAAAATCTGAACTTTTATGCACTTTATGCAAACTTTTATACAAATATGCCAAAATATGAAATATTTGCATAAAATATGCACAATATGCAAAATATGCAATATGCATATTTGCCGAAGTCTAGATATAACCGTCTTATCGAATTACTTGAAAAGAAAACTTAGATATGACAGACATTAGGATCATTAGCGCTATCTATTATAATAAGATCGCTATGGTAAAAGAGAACAACGTCTTTTCAAATGAAATACAGATTGAGAGGGGTGTCAGGCAGGGCTATGTCCTGTCTCCTACTTTGTTCAATTTGTATTCAGAGGAAATAATCCAGAAAGCACTAGAAGAACTAACTATGAGAATGAGAATAAAAGTAAATATACGATCAATAATATACGGTTGACCAACGACACTATTTTATTCGCGGAATGTCTTGAGGATTTATAACAAATGATTGACATAGTGGTAGAGGTCAGTGAAGTCAAAGGACTGTCCCTAAACAAAACAAAACAAAAAATACACAATCTATGGTAATTACAAAAGCCCAACAGCGCTAAGAAAACATAACAATACATAACAAATTAAAAAAGTTGAAAACTATAAATATCTGGGTACAATAATTAACGAAAATAATGAGTATACAGAAGAGATACTACGTGTTCTCCGTATTATTTTATGGGCTGGAAGCTTAGACATTAAAGAAAGATGTTTCGGATAGATTAGAAGCCTTAGAGTTATGGGCGTACGGAAGGATATTAAGAATAAGTTGGGTGGATAGAGTCACGAATGTTAAGGTGTTGAGAAGAATGGGAAAAGATAAAGAGGTTTTAAAAACAATTAAAGTCGGAAAACTGCAATATCTAGGACATGTCATGAGGGGCGAGCGTTATAACTTGTTGCAATTAATAATGCAAGGAAGAATACAGGGTAGAAGGAGTCGCGAAAGAAGACTCATTTGCTGGTTAAACAATTTGAGAGCTTGGTTTAACTGCACCTCTGCTGAGTTCTTTAGAGCAGCGTTATCGAAAGTGCGAATTGCCATGATGGTTGCCAACCTTCTTAAAGGAGATGGCACACGAAGAAGAAGTATTTTGTATTAAGTTACGAAGAAGATTATTTTACTAAAGATATTTTACCATTTTCTTTTCTTCAAATCAGTATGTTATAAGACCTAATTTATTGCTCTTCTTCTATTTAAAATTTTAAAAGTAGATTATATTATTTAATATTATAAGGACAATTTGTCAACAACTTGCTTATTTTAAATATAACTTGAAACAAAACTCTTTATATACGGGTTAAAAATAAAGCTAAAAAATATGTATGCCTTTTTTATTTGTGTTTTAATTCATATAGTTAGACAAAAATACTTTTTAATATACTAAGGGCATATGCTGCTCCAAGAGAGGATAATGATGCTCTTGTCCAACCAAGTTTTGAGTCCATTGTTGGTTCCACCATCCGGGTTGTTCCATGGCTTCCCAATGTTGTGGGTATTGTTGTACATATTTCTGGTTCCAATATTGAGACCATGGCATCTGTTGTTGGTGGAGATTGTAGTTGTATTGGGATTCTAGGTTCATGTTGTTTTGTAGAGAAGATCGGCGAGTCCATGGTAAAACGTTTTCATAGTTCCATGAACGATATTGTTGGTAAACTTGTGGTTGAACATGTTCATATCTTTGTTGGATGGTTTCGTGGTTCCAAGGAAGAACTTGTACGTGGGTCCATGGGAGTACTTGTTCTTGGTTCCATGGAAGTACTTGTTCGTGGTTCCAAGGTTGAACATGGACAAGTTGTTGGTAATGTAAAGGAGTAAGTTTGTATTGAATGTGGAGTACGAATTCTACCAATTGTTCGAGTTGTTGTTGCGATAAGGTTGTACCGTAGAGATATTGGTGCTGCATAATCTGGTTAAGGATTTGTTCATGGGACCATGGAGCTTGACCGAAATGTTGATATAATTCAGACATAACGTGGAAAATAAGTTTTTGATGTACCCATGGAGTTTGCATTACTTCATGCATAATGTCGTTGTATTTCATTGGATTTTGGTTAAAGTAGTGCATGATGTATGGTACAATTTGTTCGTTGGAGTCCCATACTTGTTCAGGAAGATGTTGATACAACATATTCTGAAGACGTTCATTGTCAGTTACATCATGACTCCATTGGTTCCATTGTTGGTGAAGTCTTACATAGTTGAGTAGCAACTGTACACGTTGAACTGGTGATAGGTCTTGAATATCTTGGACATCCCTATTAAACATATAGTTTTATTTAAAAAATTTATTCTAGGAATCGAGAAATAAAAGATTTATGGGCATGCAAATGTATAGTACTAAATATATACATAGTTGACACGCAATGCGTTGAAAGGAAGACTTGAAGAGACTTATGTTCAGATGTGGACGTGAATGGCTAGACGAAGAAGAAGAAGAAGAAGAAGACATGCAATGCACAGAGACTTACGCGATATCTACATTCAATAAATTTAACGATTAAACCTGCGAATTTCAACGACGAATAAAACTTGTTTGGGTGGCATATGGTTCACTAAGAGACATTTCTAAGAGTAACATCCCGATTGCTATGAAACGGATGACATTTGACCAATGCGTTCTTCCTATTATGACATACGTAGCAGAAACTCTCACTGTCATAAAAACAACAGCACTAAAACTGCGGCGAATGACACACAGGCGCATGGAAAGATCGATTCTCGGCGTGACAAAAAAGACAAAATAAGGAACCAAGACAGGTATCACTGATGTTGTCAAACGTATAGCCAAGCTGAAATGGAATTAGGCAGGTCACATTGCGAGACTAAAAGACTCACGATGAACCAGAAAACTAATTTACTGGAGCCCAAGAGAAGACAAATGCAGCAGAGGATGACCACCAACACGCTGGATGGACGACATTAAACCATTATCAAAGAAATGGTAACAAGACGCACAGAACCATGAAGAGTGACAAAAAATGGGAGAGACCTATGTCCAGCAGTGGAGAGAAGAGGTTGCATGATCATGAATAATAGTTTATAGAGTAATTAGATAATAATAATAGAAAATATTATCTATGTGCTTATGATCAAGAGCAGTAATATACGGTGCAGAAATTTGGAGAGTAATGTGGACATGTCGAAGTAGTGGAGATAAATCCAATTATCAGATTACTTTGAATATCCAGACTATATAGAATAAGAAATGAAGACCTCAAAAAACGTATGAGAAAAGAAGCAGCGATCATGATAGATATAGAAAAAACAAAACAGTGGCTCTGGCACTGACACGTAAATCGAACGAATAACGAGGGGCAAAGAAAACAATGTCTAAAATGGCAACCTTATGGACATAGGAAGCGGGAAAGACCGCAAACTAGTTGGGCTGAAGGCACCTGCAAGGCAATAAGTGCAAGACACCTCTGGGAATAGGAAACAGACTTTTAACACAATAGAAAGTGATGGAGTTTGGAAATCAGACAGCGATGGAAAAGGTTCTAAACCGATCATATATATACTATAATAATAGATTTCGAATGTACGATAAGATTAAGATAATTCAGATCTATTCCCCTACAAAAATTTTTCGAAGAAATAAGTAGAAACTTTTTATGAAGTTATATCTATGTTAATAGGTATTAACGAAAAATTCTGGCCCCTTCTTGAAGATTTTAGAGGAACTACCTACTAACAGAAAGGGGTTCTAGCAATAGGAGAAGAATTCTAAACGGTGCTCTGCAAATGGTGATAGATAATAATACATAACAGAGTTACCTAAACATTTAAGTCCGCTAAGTAAAATTCAGAACTAAGATAACTAATAGGTTGACATATAAATTCGAAAAGTGCCAGTTACTAAGGGCCGGTGCGGGTTTCCGAAAAAAATTACAGTAGAATAGATTACATGCAAATACTGAAACATCGTTGGACAACAACAACAAACAACGAAACTGGGAAATTAGGAGTTCGAATGACATTTTGGTATAGTTTTCCAGTGCTACTGTACTTAATGGAAGCGTAGAGTCTAATTGAAGTGATGCTTGAACGCTTGGAAGCATTTGAGGTGTGGGTGGACTACTAAGAATAAGCTGGGTCGACAGAGTTATAAATAAGAAGGACCTCAGACGCCTGAACCAAACAATACAACTGGTCAATACAAGAAAAAGGCGAGAGCTGGAATACTTCGGTTCCATTATGAGGCACCTTGAAAAATATAAACTTTTACAGTTGATCATACAGGGAAAGATCCAAGGTAAAAGTGATCCTGGTAGAAGAAGAACATCATGGCTGAAAAATCTAAAACAATGGCACAAAAAATCGACTACATCATTATTAAGAGCTACTGTCAATAGAGTAACCGTAGTAAATAAGGTAGCCAATATGATATCTAACGATCGATAATGGTGATGGAACTACAAGAAGAAACTGGGAAAATAGAGAAATTACCATAAACGTAATAAGCACTAACTATTAAAAATATGCAACTGATTTATTATTATTAGCGAAAAAAATCTAAAAAAATGATAGCACTTTAGCTCTTAGTTAATGGGTCTGAAAGAAAACCAGAAAATATAAATATAACTATTGATATAAAAAAAATTTAAGTAAAATCAAGTTTTGCACCAACAAAAGACACAAAGATGACGGAGTTTAATCAAAGAATAAGAAATGCTTCAAGTAACAAAACTTTATTATAATAAAGAGTAGAAGCAAAAGAATTGTAACTAGAATAAAAAAAAACGAGCGATCAAATAATTCTTAAACCATCACTGTCATAGGCAACAACAACAAAAAAACAATAAATCCATAACATGAATTAGGAGAATAAACTGAATAAAAAATAAAATAAAATAAAGAACAGTACAACCACATTAAAAAATAAATATGATGAGATGAAAACATATCGAAAACGTTTTATGATAAAACATGAACTCAGTAAAACTAGGAATAATAAAGAAAAAAAAAAAATTATATTGTCTTACCAAGAGTGATACATCCAAGGCAAAACGACATTCTCAGCTTGATTGCTGCCTTGAACGTACTGCCTCCAGTAGTTACCAGGTTGGCTACGGACACCATATTCTACCCATTGGTTCCATGGTTCTTGTCCATAATGTTGCTGATTCCAAGTCTTCCAGAAGTTGTAGACAGGATGAGTGTTATATCTGTTGTAGTCTACATCGACATCAACGTATTGTTGATTTCTAGATGCTGGCAAGCAGCTGCACAAGGCAACGACGGAAAGAAGAATGAGTACCTTCATCTTGAAGCAGTGTGCTGAAGTGTGTTTTCTGAATATTGGGGCAGCTATTTTATACTATAAATTTGGAATCTTTATCATTTTAATGAACACTTACTGCACTCTTGCCCTTAGATAAAATACATAGAGAAAACATTTTCTAAAAATATCTTTTAATTAAAATTAGGTACACACTAAATGCATGCGATAAGGTGTTGTGCAGATATTAATTAATTATCAGTGTTTAAGAAATGCCATAAGAATATTGCAAAATGGCTATTTAAGTTATTATCATTATGTTTCGTTATTCATATCAACCTGTTATTTTTCGATCGAATGAAAACAATTTCACCTAGTTACAAATGCAATTTTAAAACTTTTTAATTTAATTAAGTTTATTTTTTTCAACATATGTAATGATTGTATAACCATTTTTAGTTACTGATTTTTGATTTTTAGCTATGTCTTCTTCTTCTTCATTCTTTTTGTTGGCTTTTAAGCCTGTTTCTTCTTCAATATTAGCTTCCTAAATTAAATAAATTATCGCAACATATTTTTCTTGGTCTGCCAATACTTCTTCGTCTATTTGGTATCTCCTGCTATCCTCTGCCATTCTTTTTCGTTCCACTCTTGTTTCCGTTTTGTCATTCATCCATTTATTTATTCTAAATGCATGTCCTTCTTATGTTTTCACTTCTCTTCCTATCCAACAGACTTTTCCATGATATACGTCGGAGTATTTTTTATCTCTGTTGTTTCTAGTAGTCGCAGTCGGCTCGTTTTAGATGTGTCAGGTCTTGTCTCCGCCGTGTATGTTAAAATAGATCTAATTGCTGCTTTATAGATTTTTCTTTTTGTGAACTACACCTTGCTTCCTGTTTTTTTATTGTCCCATTAATTTCGATTTTACAACGTAGTGGATATTTAGATGTCATACATTTGGTTTTTTCTGCTGATATTATCATATTGTATTTCTTGGCTGTTGTATTGGACATGTGTGTTAATCTTCTGAATAACATAATATTTGGATTTTTTTGTTCCTCATTCTGTTACCGTGATCTTTACGTACTGCTTGTACGTAAGCAGTCACCCTGTCTGACTCCGCTTTGTACTGGTATACACTGTTGGTTTTCCATTTATCTTTGTCTGTATTTGATTATGCAAGTAGATGTTTTAGATAGTTTGTATAATATTGATTGGTATGTTTCTTTTATGCAGTTAATGTAAGACGTCTTTGACTTGGATGCGATTGAAAGCCTTTTTCAGGTCTATAAAACATAGATATGCTGATATATTGTACTCAATGGCCTTTTCTGTGATTTGTCTTAGTACAAATACGGCATCTACGTAGGATTTTCTGGATCTGAATCCTTGTTGTTCATCTGATAAAGTTGTTAATCTATTGCTTTTGTTGGTTAGGACTTTTGTGGTAAGCTTAAGACGGTGTTCAGTAGATTTATACCTCTTTAATTGTTGGGGTCTTCTATATCTTCTTTCTGGAACATTGGTATCATGCTGTTTTTTGTCCTCACTAGGGTTATACCTTCTGCTCCGTGTTTTAGAAGCTCGTTGGTTATTCTGTCTGGTCCTGGTGACTTTCTATTTTTAAGTAAATTTATGGCTATCTCTACTATCTCAAAACTAATTTCTATTTTATTTGATTTCATCTCTACTTCCTGAGATCTGATATCAGCTATGCAATCGTTGTTAATATGATTTCTGTGAAATTAAACCGACATAAATGCAAAACAGAAATTTTTACTAGAGGATTTCAAATATTTACAATTAATTTTTTATTGTTTATTACCGTTTATTTCACAGTAAAGTTACCATAAAAGTGCAGATAAAATTATGAAAAGTCTCGCTTGTTAAAGTATTCATAACAAATGACCAGATTGTTGACTAAATCCAAAGAAACAAACAGATATGCCACTATAACTTTAAAATGTGATTTCTGCTTGCATTTAAGCCACAGTGACACAACAGTATAAGGAACCTATTACAGACAGGCAAAAAATTTTAAGTGAGGTTATACCTACGAAAATTCATTTCTTCCTTCATTTTTTCTAAACATTAAAATAGATCCTTTAAGTTATAAGAATTTATGATTTTTTCATCATCATCAATCTTATTAAGGCACGATACGAGGTTCATCATCATCAATATTATTAAGGCACGATACGAGGTTGGGCATATTCAGCTGCATAACTTAACCGAAGATAATTTTAGAAAAAAAGTACTTTACGAAATCAGAACGTTACCTATTTAGTCAGAAAGAATACGAACCGCATGAAATTGAACAGCAAGTAGGATTTAGAGCTGGAAGATCTTGCGTAGACCACATATTTACCCTAACACAACTGAATAAAAAGAAAGTTGCAAGAAACCAGGAAATACATCTTTTATTTGTGGATCTCACAAAAGCATATGACACGATTCCTGTGAGAAAGCTGTGGCAGTTTCTTGAACGATCTCCATTAAATAGCACGATCATCGCCGCATTCAAACAATTATACAATAAAGCATCATCAAAAATCAAACTAAACAACAACTTATCAGAAGAATTTCCAGTAACAAAAGGCTTACGACAAGGATGCTGCCTCTCTCCAATACTATTTAAGATCTATTTAAATGAAGCACTAAAACACTGGAGAAGATCCTGTTCAGGAATGGGGATCCAACTTGACGACGATACAACATTATACACTCTACATTTTGCGGACAACCAAGTAGTAGTGGCAGCAGACAAGGAAGATTTAGAATTCATGACGAGACGGTTGTTTAAAACATATGAAGAATGGTAAAAAATAAACAATAACAAACAAAAACTCTGTAAATAGAAACAAAACGCAATACTTATGCATCGGGAATGAAGTAGAAGATCTAATGGTCAACGAACATAAAACAATCAAGAACTGTGAGGAATATATATATATTGGGAACAACAATCAAAAAGAGTGGGCACACCGAAAAAGATATAGAGCAAAGAATCGTGAAAGGAAAAACGGTGATAGGATCCCTAAACCCAATGCTATGGTCAAAAGAACTATCAAATCAAAGAAAGCATCTCCTCTTTAACTCCATCTTTAAAAGTATAGTGCTCTATGGATGCGAAACATAGAAACTTACTAAATCCCTTGAGCGACGCCTACTTGCATTGGACTTCTGGAGAAGATCAGCTAGAAAATCAAGGCTTGATAGAATACAAAATGACCATATCAGAAATATAATGGGAGTCAACTCAATAATCATTGACGAAATTCAAAGGAGACAACTGATCTGGTATGGTCATGTGAAAAGAATGAACGACAACAGGCTGCCAAACCAAATTTTAAAATTGACGCCAAGGGAAAGAAGGAAGAGAGGAAGGCCAAAACAATCCTGGCTGGGCGGCATTTAGAAGGCAATGTCGGAAAGAAACTTTCACCCTGGCGAATGGAATGACCGACATAGCTGGAAACTGGGAACCGGAAGGCGGAGAACGCTGTAAAAAAACCCGGGATAATAATAAATATTTAGTCATTTGGTAGTTTTAACTGGAAAGTTCTGCGGGAGTTTTGAAAATTGCTAATTTTATAGATTTTGGTATGCTATTCTCGAATTTGAACTTTGCCACCTCGTACCGGAGCCCCTTGCCCAGCCATATTGGAAATATCCCGCCTAAAACAGTTTTTTTATATATTCTTGCTGACGCATTTCACGAGAAATACATGTATATACAAAATTAACCTAGTAAAAATTTCGTAAAACTTATGTATTCACAATTTTGTAAAATTAATAGCTGTTGGCGATTGCTGCAAAGTACACTTCGATATGCGTTTTGGAAAAAATTCATTTCCACACCCTTTGAAGGTAGAGTAAGTTTTGTAATCGTTTTTCAATGTTTAGTTTTTCGTTTTTTACCTTTTTAACTTTTAACTATTTTAAAGTCTTTTGATAGAACTACTCTCTCTCTCTCTCTCTCTCTCTCTCTCTCTCTCTCTCTCTCTCTCTCTCTCTCTCTCTTTCTCTCTCTCTATTGCTTATGCTACCTGCAGACTCATTGTACAAATGACATCATGCTCAAATTTTTCGTCAGATTCGTGAAATCCAATATGAAAAGGTTATTCGTTATTCTGAAAAATCAATGGAATAATATTTTTTTACTAGCCTCTTCATAGCTTACTTATCTCTGCTTATCTCTTTTTCTTTGCTTAACTGCCAATTTTAATGTGTACAAGAAATTAAAATAAAATCTTAATATAGAAATATCTGTATATTTTTAATTATTCAGTGAATATAAATTCTTTATTATATTCAAAATAATTTAAACAAAGATTATTTGACCAGTAATGACTAATCTTAAAGTATTTATACCCCAAAATGTTTATACTCCATTCGCTTAGCTCGGGCATATTTTGACAGGTTCATTGTCTGAAACCTACAATACAACAATTCCTACTTCTCAGTATTAATAGCTCAAGTAGACTACTATTGCAGACTTCTTTCTTTGAAAAAAAGAAAAATTATTCTAAATAGTGGAAGTGCATACTAAACCCATCAAATTTTGGGTAGTATATATTTAAAAAATATATTTTAGTTGTTATAATGTAAGATTACTATTTATTATATGGTGCAAATAAATAAATATTGGTTGTCGGTAATTCGCACAGTTCTATTTTATGTACTATTTAGTTTGTTTACTATTAATATTGGCTGTGAGTACGTGTGCTTGGTTGTATAGTAATTTTCAGCCACTTTTAGTCTGTCAAAAAGTAACTAACTTCGCAAAAAAATAATTACTAAATTCACTAGACGTTCGGACTGGGAATAGCGAACTATATACTTAATAAACGCGCTACAAAAAATTGCAATGTATCTGTTACCACTGGAGGATGGCCAAACAAAATGCTTTTAGTGTTTTTGTGTATTTTATTAACCCTTCACTGCATGATTTTTTATTTTTCGTTACAAATAAGTTTGCAGACTGGATTTTCGGTTTTTTTACGGGAAAAAATAATAAAAAACATTCTGAACAACTAGTTTTTTTTATTTTGGAAAAATATGT